TCAGAATAGCAGCCCGGACAGCCAAGGGACTCGGTTCAGAAATTAGGACTGGGAATATAGTTCAGCGGCAGTGTGCCTATCATACACGAGGCTCTGGACCTGAGCTTCAGTGGGAGTCGGGTGTGTGGGGGTACTTGAGGGTGAAAAAGTCCATGAAAATCAACTCGGGGTTGATCCAAAGGTCATTCTCAACTACGCAAAGGATTCCAGGCTAGACTGAGCTACATGAATCTCTGTCTCAAGAGCAAAACAAAAAAGACAAAGGGACATCAGAGCTGTGGGAAAATTCACTTCTGTTGCTCGAGCCCCAGACTGTCCGACATTGTGAAGTTAGCCTTGAAAAATAGATGTGATGGGTCCAGAAAATCGTTCTCCAGCCAACTTCCTATCAAACCAGCAAACACGACACGACTTGGGGAAGAGCTGGGAATGGTGGCCCACGCCTTTAGTATCAGTACTTAGGAGACACAGACAGGCAGATCCCTGAATTTCCAGCCAGCCTGGTCTCCAGATTGAGTTCCAGGATAGCCAGGGCTACGCAGAGAAACCCTGTCCCAAAATATGACCCCCCAAAAGAAAAAACAAAAAAGAATTGGGAAGAAATGGAGTCCCTTGACAAGTGCAAGTGACCATCCTCCAATGGTAATGAAGCTACCTGATAACATGGCTGACTGACACATGGTCACTAGGAAACCAGGACCCCAAGGAAGGACTTCATGACTCCAAAGTGGATCCCCATCAGTCAAGACGTTTCAGCTGGTGAGTGGGTAGGTGGAGGCAGGGAGAGGGGAAGGACTTATGCTCTAAAAACCACTTGAGAGTTTATCAATAAGAAAATTCTGAAAGGAAGGTATGGTGGCTCACACGGTGACCTCAGTACCTAAGCAACTAAGTTCAGGTCATCCTGGGCTGCACAGTAAGGTCTGATTTCAATAACTACTCCCCCAAAAAATCCTTAAACTGTGGGAGCCAGCCATGATAAGCTAAATATGGGCAGGTCACCCAAAGGAAGTTTTTACTTCCAACCATTTTCACCTGCCAAAGTAGGACTCTGGCCATCGATAAATTTAAATGGAGGCCTAAGTCTCAGTAGTTTACCCTGAAGCAAAAGGACCGCAAACTGAGATAACCCAGGCACCAACCAAGAACAGACCAGTCAAAGGAAATGCCTAACATTCCAACCACTGTAGATAGAACCACCTGCCAACACACACTCACCAGGACACCCCAGATAAATGTCAGCCAATCAGGGGCCTTAAACCTCAGAAACCCCTCACCCCCACCTTTACTACCATAAAAACCCAATTCTAACTGAGCTTGGGGCTCTCGGTTTATTCCATTACGTTGGACATGCGGAGAGGCCAAGTTTGCAAACTTGCATAAAATAAAGAAAGGCTCTTCGTGGGACTCAGTCTGGTCTCCTTGTTGGCTTTTGGGGGAGTTCGCGGATTTGGGCATAACAAAACAAAAGTGCACAAAGAAACAAGAACAGATCATTTTAGGAGTTTAATTTGGTTGCTTGTTTTTGTTGTGTAACCTGGGCTGGCCTCAAGCTCCCTATGTATGGTCCTCCTGTCTCTCAAGCAATGGGATTCTGTCACGAGCCATTTCCCCCCTAAAAATCATTACAGAGGAACCATCACCCTGGGGAGTCTGCAGAGAACCCCACACCCATAATTATGTTCTATTGAGAACCTGCCCCTCACCCAATTAACTTATCTGTTAGCGAACCCGCCTCACATTCCAGCTATCCAGGGAACCAGGTGTGGCAACTTGTGACTTCCTGGCCTACGTGACCTGGAACATGCGGCCAGATTCCAGTTTCCCTGCCCCTCAAAGTCCTCATCCCGGGCCTATATAAGCAGCAACCATGACCCTAATAAACCGGAGGCTTTGACAAATCTGCTTGGCCTCCTTCTTCTGTCTTAGCTTATTCCCTTCCAGGTAGCGCCCCTCCGAGACCCTGGAATAACTGATTGCAGGGTGGGTTACAAACCCCTAGACTGAGTAACCCACACCCAACGCAATCGACAGGATTCCAACTGTGTGTCAATGCGCCCAGCTAAGAGCAGAGGTGTGATAGCACCTGTCATTTGCATTTCAATGATACACTTAAAATGTCTCTGATTGAGTTAAAATATTTATTTATTTATTTATTTATTTATTGAGGCAGGGTCTCACACAGCTCAGCACAGCCTCAAACTCCCTCTGAAGCTGAGGATGACCTTGAACTCCAGCCGCTCCTTTCCTCACTCTTGTCTACCTGTCTACAAAAAATAGTTGTGAGCCAAGGCATAGCCTCCCTATTTTGAAAAATCTTATTTTAAATCTTTTGTGTGTAATTGTGTGTGGTGTGTAATCGCGTGTGTTCACATGTGTGTGTGGATGTACTGTGTGTGCGTGTACATGGAGGCTAGAGGATGAGATTGGGTGCCCCCCTCAGTCCCTCTCTACCTTATATTTTGGACCTAGAGCTCAGCGATTCGGCTTGTCTAGCTAGCCAGCTCGGCCTGGGAGTTCCTATTTCTGTCTCCTGTGTGGCCAGATCACAGAGGGCTGCCAGGCCCTCTCACCTGGGTGCTGGGATCCAGACTCCAGTCCTCACGCTGTGTGCCAAGCATTTCACCCACTGAGCCATCTTCTCGGCCTCACAGTTTTTTTTTTTACTTGTTTTTTTAGACAGTGTCTGGACATGGTACCCAGTGGGTCTCCATTTCCTGGACTCAGAGAATCCGCCTGCTTCAGCCTCCTAATAAGCTGAGACCTGTGTGCCCCATGGCACCCAGTGTCTAATGTGTATTATTAGGGAAACATGATCCTAGGTCCCTAGAGTGTCAAGCCAAGGACTATAGAATTAGCAACAGAGCAAAGAATTCCTGAGATGTCCTTCCTCTGCATCTCAGAAGACCTGGCTTGTACCTGGTGGACCAGGAGCTTGCTGGTTTGTGTTAGCATAGACTAACCTGGCCCCACCTCTTCAGGACTGGACAGAGTGCATCGTGTCCTCCCCGGGCTCAAGCCTGAGGACCCTGTCTCTTTGAAAGGCAAAACTCCACCTACTTCTCCCTTCTTCCTCTTCCCTTTCTCTCTTTGCACCTCTCCTCTCATCTCCCCCTTCCCCCACTCTTTTTATCTTAATAAAACTCTCCGCTTAAGCTCTGTCTGTATGACGTATTTGTCTCTCACCAGCCATGAGCTCTCACCCGCCGCAGTTTGGACTCACCCACCATCAAAGGTCCCTCTCACACAGAATTATTACAGTTTGGGTCTTAGCATTGCTCTGAACCAACTTTGGGGCTTCGGACATGGCAGATAGCTGCCCCATGCTTCTCGCTCTGCAGTATGCTAAGTGATTATGGTACTTCAGTGTTTGAAAACAAAGGTGGTTGCCAGTCCGTGAGTACAAATGGAGTCATCTTTGCATTTCTGGTGGCTCAACGTTCCCACCTGTGCTGATCTCTACCTGCCTCAGCAGTACCTTTCAGGCCATTTGGGTGGGAACGACGATGGATTTCTGGATTCCCTAGTGCTCGGGGACGGGTGGGAGCATTTGTTTTCCCTGGTCTCCCTGGGGGATGGCAGCACCTGGCATTTGGAAGAAGCCTCCTGTAGCTGGCCCACCCCCCTGGTGTGGTCATCATTGCTGTCTATGAAGACAATTGCTAGTTCTTGATCCTGGTGCTCCTTTGTAGGGTTTCAAAGGTTTCCCACAGGGGAGGAAGAAAACCTGTATTCCCCTGGCTCAATATCAAAGGCAACTATTGCTTTCTCCTCAGAGGCTCCACGTAGGGGATGGACTGGTCTGAGCTGAAGACGCCACCCATTCCTCTTGGGATTCCCTCTTCCCTGGTTACCTGCACTTGCACCCCCTCTACTAGACTAGAGCCCCATGCAGTCACCCTGTTCTGCGCACATCCGTGTACGCACAGTGGAGACTCTGATACTCAGTGCCCACTGTGGTAATGGACATCCACCCCAGGCAGCTCCCAGATTCCTAGCCTTTTCTCTTGTCTTAGAACACACATGAATCTGCTCTCACAGGGTGGAGCCAGAAGCACCCCACCCCACCACCAAAGGGCTTAGAGTGGCAGCCTAGCAAACACTAGAACACCAAAGCTACATCCCGAATAGGAATCGGGGCCAGAGAGATGGCTCAGAGGTTAAGAGCTCTGGCTGCTCTTCCAGAGGTCCTGAGTTCAATTCATAGTAACCACATGGCGGCTCACAGCCATCTGTAATGAGATCCGATGCCCTCTTCTGGCCTGCAGGCACACATGGAGGCAGAACACTGTATACATAATAAATGAATAAATCTTTAAAAGAAAAACACAAAAGGCCGGAAATCATCTCTCAGTTCAAGACGTGCTGCCACTACATGTTTGTGACACACTGGGAAACATTTTGCTTTTTCAGAGCTTAAAGGAATTGAGCACCGTGGCTGAGGGATAAGGATGACAACTCCGGTTGTCCTCTTTCCGGAGGTGGCTGAAGGCTCCTACTCTCCTGACAAGCAAGAGAGGAAGAGAGGAAAGCTGGGCATTTATTCTGCACCAACTGTGTGCCTGGCCTCGATCTGCTCTTTAGCCCGCAACGACCAGGCTGTGGCAACGAGAGTAGGTGGGGCTCAGCCCAGAGCTCCTATTTAGGAGAGAGGTCAACTCAGCCTGACTGGGAAGCTGGAAAGGGCCCCAGCTGGCCGCTAATGTGTTTACCCACGGCCCACAGCAGGTGGGCGGTCCATCTGCTGAGTTCTTCCTGCTGAGCCCCAGGAGGGGGAGGGGAGGCAGAGCCAACAAGAGGGGCCTAGCAGGGGTCCGGGAGCCTGGAAGACACCAGTCCTATCAACTCAACCGCTCTGCCTCCCTTCCTGTGCTGGAGAAAAACCTTCCTCCAAGGCTCAGGGGTTGAAGTTACCAGTACATACATGTACGCGCGTGTGCGCGCGCGCGCGCGCGCGCGCACACACACACACACACACACACACACACATCAGTTTCTAGTGCCATAGACTGATGACGGTAAAGCAAGACCCATAGACCCACTGTGGTGCTGGTGCACGGAGGAATTCAGAATCAAATTAGGGGTTCTTCTCCCTGACTGGGTTAGACCTGGGGACACCCAATATGTGTTAAGACACTGGGGACCTCTATTCCTTATCTCGGCACCTCCATTGCTCAGCCAAAAACATTGGCTCCCTCAGCCCAGGAGAGGACTTGAGTCTCTACAGATAGCCTTCTGTTCAGACTTTAGTTTTGCCACTGGAGGCCAAAGAGGCCACCAGTTTAGGAAGCGGGAGGCAGGCCAGGTTCACACGAATCTGTCTATTCATCCATCATTCCATCCGTCCATTCGGCTCACATTAGCATTTGCCCTGAATGTGCCAGGTGGACGGCCCCTTCCAAAGGGGTACCCCAGCAGCTGTTCTGATGTATGGGCCCGCAGAGGCCTGTCCTTCCCCCAGAAAATGGGAATTGGGATGATGCTCACCTGTAGGGTGGCTATTTTTTTTCTTCTTTCTACCTGGAGTCACTCAAAGGGGAGTCTTTTTCTCTCCCCCCAGACAGCAAAGTTGGTCAAGTTTTGGTGGGTACAGTTGCAAAGCTCTCACTGGCAGTAGGCCCACACATCTTTCATCCCAGCGCTCAGGAGGCAGAGGTAGATGATCTCTGAGTTTGAGGCCAGCCTGGCCTACAGGGTGAGTTTCAAGATAGCCAGGGCTACACAGGGAAACCCTTCTCAAAAAATCAAAACAAAACAGTTGCAAAGGTCTCTTTGCAGGTGGCCCTGTGACCCTTGGGATAGCTAGCCCGGTCCCCTTTCTCTATATCTCTGCCCCTACAGACTTCAACACAAGTTCTACCTCCGTGCCCTTTGGCTGTGACTTCACGGTGCATGACATGTGGGCATCATGGATGACCTGTCGGACTGTGGCTCTGAAAGTCTTGCTGATGAAGCAATAGAGGCCAAAGTTGACAACTGTGTTGAGCATGGCCACCATGTTGGCTATATCCAAGACCAGGTGGACCCTCCAGTCCCGATGAACGGGGGCCACATACAGGTGGTACAGCATGACACAGATGCGTGGTGCCCAAAGGAGAGCAAAGAGGGAGGTGACACCCAGGAGGATGGCCGTGCTCTTGCTCACCCAGGGCCGCAGCCCTCGCTGGCTCCTCTTCCGTAGCCGGAGGATAATGGCTGAATTGGTGACCAGGAAAACATTGCAAGGGATGAAGTAGACAATGAGACAGTGAGCCCACTTGAGGACTTCGTCCATCGTGCTGGGAGGGTCTGCGTCCCTCCACACATCCAGCCACCAGTAGAACGGGATGCCTGTCAGCAGGGCAACGCCAAGGACCGTGGCAATGGCGCGGTGGGTCTTGCCTGGGGACGCGGTGGCCCGATGGCGCAGGGGGCGGCACACCGCATTGTAACGGTCCACCGTGAGCAAGACTGCAATCCAGACTGAGGCGTGATTGGCAGCAAACTCCAGGATGTTTGCCGTGCGCACCACAGCCTGGGGCACCTGGCGGGCCAGCACAGCTCCCTGCAGGAGGAAGCCCACGAAGACGATGACCACTTGCGTGACAATATCCGAAGCTGTGAGCGCCAGGAGATAGTGGTAAGAGGGCTTCCTGGTCCTGGCGGCGAGACGGGCTAGGGCCACTGTAGTCAGGAGGTTGACTGATGGAGACCCAGGTTGTGGAGGGGAGAAGTCAGAAGAGTTAGAAGGGCTGTTAGCAGTGGGTTTCTCAAGATGTTTGCAGGGTCCCTCCCACCCGCTACTATGAGGGGCTCTGTTTCTTGTTTCCCTCTTTTACCTCTTGCAGTACTGGGAGCTGAACTCAGGGCTAGGCAAGCGCTTTGCTACCAAAGCATATCCTTAGTCCATTTGTCTTTTTTAACTTTGTTCTTTTGAGACAGGGTCTCTCTAAGTTGCTCAGGCTGGCCTGGAACTCATGTAGTAGCCTGGTAGGGCCTGCACTTTCTGCTTCTGCCTTCCCAGATCTAGTTGGCTCAAACTTCCTATAGATTGAAGGATGACCTTGAACCTCTGATTCTCCCATGCATCTCCCATGTGCTGAGATTACAAGTGTGCACCACTATGTCCAGTTTATGTGGTGCTGGGATTGAACCAGGGCTTTGTGCACACTAGACAAATACTCAACCAATCGAGCCACCAAAGCCCTCCAGCTGGTTGGAAGTATAGTTTGAGTGACAGATTACTTGCCTCGCATGCCACAGGTCCTGGGCTCTGTCCCCAATGACCACAGGACCAAGTCAGATGAAAAAAAAAGCTTGCTTTGCCAAGCTGGGTCATCTAGTCAGGCTTGTCCCACCATACCCTGGACCATGGACCACCTGCCCCATCATACCCCGGGCCATGGATCACCTGCCCCATCATACCCCGGGCCATGGACCACCTTGGTAACAACAAATGGACTCATCTAGGAGGGCATCCACATGCTGGCAGTATAGCCTACGTCTTTCTCAGGAGTTCTATGTCCTTCCAAGCAGAGGTGTAGTGAAAGCCAGGTATAAGTTACTAGATTTAGGGAGTACCCCCTGAACCAGGCCAATGGCCTTTCCTACAAGAGTACACTGCCTCCTTCCCTGGCTCCACTCTGCATGTAGGTTACAGAAGGGTTGCAACAATGTTGCACTGATCCTCTGTGATTTAGCCATCTTGAGAGAATCTGGATAGGATGAGGAAGGGCCCCTGTTCTGGCTCAACCTGAGGTCCCAGACCCTGGCTCTCCACTCACCAGGCAGTCCCAGGCTTAGCAGGACGCTGTAATAGATGACAGGGATGATACCAGCTACACATGGCGACCTCTCTGGGATCTCTGGCCAGGGGCCATCCACATCATCGTATATTGGGTCACTCCCATTGAGTGTAGGCAGCAGGGTCACGCGTGGCTGCGCAGCTAGGAAGGATGGAAAGGCAGAGTGACAGCGGTTAGTGTTTTTTTTTTCCAATTGGGCTTGATTGACAGCAGCCCCTGCCTAGCCCCAAGGCCCTTCTATTCAGTACTGTTCCATGTAGAGCCCTGGGACAGTTTCAGCCAAATGCAATCCCCCTGTGGGATTCCCGCCCCCTCCACTCTGCTGCTCTCTTATCAATCAATGGAAAGAGTCCTTGGCCGCGACCCCCCCCCCTGCATCATAACCCCTGCCACTATGGAAACCAGCGGCCCTGCGGTAGTTGTGAACACACTGGCATGGGACTGGAGTAAGGATGCCGGTGACTCTGACCGGTGACTCTGACCAGCGGCGGCTGCCAGCGGCTGTTCGGTTCCATTCCACACCCAGCCCCTCTCAGGAAAGACCAGAGGATCCCTTCCTTCCTCAGCCAAGAGAGTCCTCCTTCGCAGCTTACCACTACCAGTGTTCAAATGACTCAGATTGTCCCATGGGGAAACTGAGTCCCAGAGTAAGGTGGCCCCGTTGTCTAGGATCTAATACGGAATGAGGATCCCTACCCACATCTGCTCTGGCCCCTAGTCATAAATGCGCTTTAAATTGTTTTAGAATTTAACTTACAGCCTTTTCTTTCCTGCTGAAGATGAGTGGAGGAGCTCCCCCCCCCACTCCCACCTCCCACCTCCCGGGTCCACCATCTCACTATCAGCAACATCACCCGCCCCACCCCCACCTCATGACACATACTTGCCCTTTATCTTACTGCCCCTCTCCCCATTTGAAAATATTTTACCTGTCTCTGGTCCCGCAAGCCCCATAGCATCGAGTCCTGGCCCCCTGGTTCCCAGCGGCTTTTCCTTGGGGTGCTCACACCACCTTGTGCATTACCTGCCGTGACTCTCACTCTGGCTCTCTAGCGAGGGTTATTTGCCCCACGCTTCTCCCCGGTAGCTCTGAGTCTGTTGGTACAGAGAGTGGGAGAGTGGGGGTGGGAAAGGAAGGGCGGGGGCCCAGCCATTGAGTCTCCAGGGGACCCAGGAGGGACAAAACAGCTTCTTCTAAGGTACAAACTGACAGGGAAAGCCTGCTGGGTAGGGGCTTCAGAACAAAAAGGCTGTGGGTCAGGATTTGCTTAAAGGGATATTTCTGTACTTAGTGGTTAAGGAAAGAGTGGCGAAAAGGCAGGAAGACAGACCAACTAGCTCTGGACAGCAGCCCTGTGCTCAAGAGCCCTTGGCAAACTGGCCCACTGAGTGGGGGCAGCCACACTCTGGAGTTGAGGCTCTTGGGGAAGGCTGAAGGATATAGGGGGCTGATTCTATGGGCATACACGGTGCCTGTCAGAAAGGAGGAGATTTGTGTCCAGGAACTGGGGGATTAGCTCTGAGCCTCAGGCAGGCAGCAGCAGGCAGGGTTTAGATTCCCAGAGAGGTCCCAGGGATCAGATTCAAAGGAGTCTTACCTGTAGACACCACAGTGGTGGGCAGGATGAGGTCCAGGCTACCTGAAGGAGGGGGATGTTGGGACAAAGGTCAGCAGGAGGCTTGTTACCCCCAGGAGAAGGCTGGCCAGGCTGCCGGCCAGTGTGGAGCACAGAACCCAGTGGTCTAACAAGCTTTTTTCCCCCTGGACGTGATGCAGCCAAGCAGCTCTCAGGAACACCATTCTCTGGTAAATAAACACCAGCCGGTGCCAGCAACGCTCCAAAGAAGCTGGAATCTGTGGCCAGCAGCTCCCGGCACCTGGATGAAGAGTAACCAGGTGAGCCACCCTGGGCATCAGGACACAGACTCCAGGGAGACTGCCCGGAACACAGAACTGAGACCTACTCTGGAGCCACTTTTTATGGTTGTCTTAGTCACTGTTCTAATGCTGTGAGAAGACAACTGTGCCCAAAGCAACTCTTAGGGAACAAAGCATTTAACTGGGGCTTGCTTATGGTTCCAGAGGGCTTCCTTCACGATCATCATGGTGGGGGTGGACAGGCATGGTGCTGGGGTAGCAGCTGAGAGCTTTACATCCTGATCCACAGGCAGCAGGCAGAGAGTGAGAGACTGGAAAACCTCAAAGCCCACCCCTAGTGACACACCTCCCCCCACAAGACCACACCTCCTAATCCATCCCAAACAGTTCCACTAGCTAACTGCCTACCAGCACTGACACATGAGGAGACCAGGGGTCAGAGAAGACAAGCATGTTGGTGGGGATCCCACAGATGTGGCATCTGGATCTGAACTCAGGTCGGTCCTTCCTGTTGTCTCCCCCAGGACTGTTCTATTTCATTCCCTCACACGATGTGCTAGGGAGAAGAGGCCGCAGTAAGCTGAGGCTCCAGGGAGGAGAGGTCCGTGGACAGATAGCTGACCCTGTTGGATGGAGGACATGACCAAGGGTGCTGAACAGTGTAGACGGTCTTTGTTTTTCCTTTGGGGACCCACCACTCAGCTCCCAGATAAATACATGGAGACTCATTCTTACTCATAAATGCCCGGATTCAGCTTGGCTCCTTTCTAGCCAACTTTTCTTAAATTATCCCATCTACTTTTTACCTCTGGACTTTTACCTTTTTCTATTCCATATACCTACCTTTCTTTCCTTCTTGCTCGGTGGCTGTTTCTGTGGCTTGCCCCTGGCATCTTCCTCTCCTCCTTTTTTCACTCTTTCTTCTCATTTGTCTTAGCTTAGATTTCTTCTATTCATTCTCTCTGCCTGCCAACCCTGCCCATCCTTTCTCCTGCCTTAGCTACTGGCCGGTCAGCTTTTCATTAGCTCGATCAGGTGTGTTAGACAAGCAAAGTAACACCGCTTCACGGAGTTAAACAAATGCAACATAAAAGAATGCAACACATCTTTACATCTTAAATGTTCCATGGCATAAACAAATGTAACACATGTTAAACTAGTATTCCACAACAGACCAGGGAGGAAGCTGTGAGACCGTGAGCTGCCCATAGCATGTGAATGACTTTAGGAAAAGATGCTCTCCCCTTTTGGGATGGGTAGCCCAGGCTGGCCCTAAGCTCCCTATGTAGCAGAGACCAGCCATAAATTCCCAGTCCTCCTCCTGCCACCTCATCCAGCCTTTCTTTTATCTTTAGTGAGCCTACAGGGTGTACTGAGCCTGGAGCCTAAACTCACAAGAGTCCCTATTCCCCAGTGAGTTGAGTCACTCGTGAGAGGGCAGATGCCATTAGAGGCAGGCTGGGCCTCAGGTGTACCCATCCTCCATGTCTCCTCAAGCTCAGTGTCTGAGCTATCCTCACCTTTGTAGTTCTTGAAGCCACCATCCCTGTCCACGACTGCAGAAGTTTCCGGTTGCTTCAAGACCCTCTTGAGATACCTTGCTACACAGAGATCATTCATTGGGGCTGACCTAGCTTTCTGGAAAAGCTATTCTGAGCTTATGGACACTTACGCCCTGGCTGTGCCAGCTCTGGATGAGTGTAGACAAATCCCTTAGGCGATGCATGTGGACCCTGGGCAGGAAGTCGCACTCCACCAGCCCCTCTCTGGGGACCGTTCTTGCTTATGAGATCTTCAGACTTGTGCTCACAGAATGATGGAGCTTCCAGACCGCAGTGGTGGTGGAGGGTAGGACAGGGACTAAACTGTCGTGTTGTCCATCTGTCCATCTGTCACCTCAGTGCAGGCTGAGCACTCTGCCGTACATATCCTGGCCCGAGACACTCCCACCACATGTATGAATACACAGCACGCATATGCACATGTAATTGCACAAACTGTGGTGATGCAAGCTTCATCCAGTCTGTCGGTTCCTAAATCATCGGAGGAGAGGCAGGGATGAGGGAAGTTAGAATCTTAGAATCCATGGGAAGGGCCTGTCAGAGGTGGGGGTGGGAGATCTTGGTATCCTGAGACCTGCTGACACTTGAAATACCAATCACCTCTCTCTAGTGGTTAGATCATAGCTGGGGGTGTCCATAACAATCAGTTGGTCTGCTTAGGAAACATGAAGTCCAGGCCTGCCACTGGGAATTCTGGGTTCTTATGGAGCACAGAAGATGCCAGTGCAGGTAGGCCAGACATCAAGAGGGACTGAGGAGGGTCTCCGAGGAAGAGGGGATGAAAAAGCATGCCTACTGAAAAACTATCGTTCTCGTTGATGGGCATTGTGCATAGACCTGAGGCTCCCTCCAAGGCTGGACTGCCCTATTCCACACAGGCTCGGCCTGTTTGAGTTGAGCCTAGGTGTGGTACAGGAATGGGAGGCAGGCAGCCAGCGGGGAATGGATGGTCCATCTGGACAGGAGAGACCAGGCGTGAGAGAGCCGGGAGGCATTTCCGCTAAGCCGGACAGCTCTGATTCTGCCAACCCAGACAAGCTTGGTGCCAGACCCAATTCTTGCTTTCTCTATGGCTCTGGGAGGAAGTGAAACTGTTAGGTCTCTCCACAACAGAAAGAGACAGAACTCAATCCATGAAGCTGATCCCTCGGATTCAGAGGATAAGGGCAAGAAGTTCCAACACATCACCAGAGCGGGATCTGGCCTCTGAGAAACTCAGATCTCCCAGGATCCACCTATTCCCATATATCAGCCTCAAGGGAGTCTCTCTCACAAGGAACGGGGGCAAATCCTGTGGATTCCATGCAAAGGTGAGGTCTTAGCACGTGCACGCACACACACACAAATACACGCATATACACACATCACATGCATATGAACACATGTGTCCATGCAAACACACACTACCCACATAGACATGCACACACATCCATGGGACTCTAGACCCTTCCCTCCCCATTGTCTGTGTCTTAAAAACACACACATACAAGTGTAAACACACATGCATACACACATGCATATGAACACACATGTACACACAAACACACACTATCCACACAGGCATGCATATGCATACAAGGGATTCTGAACCCCACCCTCCTCATTTCCATTGTCTTTGTTGTCAGAACATATCCCTGTATTGTCTAACCGAGACTGAAATCTAGCTCCCTGCCTCAGTTTCCCTATACATGAACTACAGTGCCAGGTTTGCCCGCACGTCTTCTTGGAACTTTGGGAAGGGAAGGCTAGAAACTAGTCAGAAGACAGTAAGAGACACTATCTAGGGAGGGAAATCTTGAGGCGTGGGGCCATGCATGGGGTGGACTAAAGTCTTGGGCTGTCTGGGTGGGGAAACAGGCTGTGTCCATGGTGGGAGATGGTCCGTCTCTGTGCAGCTTCACTAAGGGCCCATCACCCTCTCCAGAGTAGAAGGAACTTCACAAACAGCACGAGAACAATCCCCATTACTCCATACCCCTATTCAAGGTCCTTATCCTCTCCTCTGGAGAACTGGCCCACCCTAAAATGGGAGAGGGGGAGGGGCAGAGCCCTGAGCCAGCTCTTCCTTGCTTCTTCCAGTCTCTCCCTTTGCAGCCAGCTCACCAGGACACTGCCAAGTAATGCCCTGTGCCAGGATGGAGGCTGGGCCTGGGGGCTGGGGCCTTGAGGCTGGTGGCTGCCAGGGGTCCCGAAGCCCTTTGCTTGCCCTTCAGAAAGCTTAAACTTCTCCAGAGAGGAGCAGTTAGCCTTGCTGGGTTGTCCGGAGAGGTGGGGGAGGAGGGTGTCCGGATCTGTTCCCCTTGGGGGCCCAGGCCTGCACAATAGCCCCTGGGGCTGCCACACTCTGGCTTAAGTAGTTGCCTAGGCAACAGCAGGGGCCAGCTTCAACCAATCCATGGCAGAGACTGGTAGGGGAGGGAGGCCGGGAAGGAAGGGAGTACAGTCCCCTTGCTGGATCCTATATAAGGAGGAAGGATGGGACTGGAGTGCTCCGGACTTGACTGTCCCTGCAGTAGACTTAGGGACAGAACACCAAGATGCTTAGGAAAGGCCACTGCAAGCCTGGGTCCTGGGGAAGCTTCTGGGCTACCCTGGCCTTGGTGGGACTGGCCACTCGTGCAGGTGAGTGGGCTGTGAGGGGGTCAGCTTCTTGGTAAGGAAAAAGGCAAGGGGTGGGGGCAAGAACTTCTATTAGGAGCTACCTAGGGCTGGCCAGGAGGTGGCGCGGTCCAGTCAGCCACGGAAAACACCCAGAGACCGGACATCTCCAAGGACAGGTCTTCAGAAGGGAAAAGGGGGGGACTGCCTCCCCGGGAAAGAGGGGCTGGGCAGCAGGCAGGGGTCTTAATGACAAAAGACCCACTATTCATCATCTCAGGCAGCTGGGTTCAGGCAGAGGCTGCACGGGGACGTCATCAGCATTCAGGTCCTTCAGAGTGACAGCTGGGGAGGCAGGGCTGGGAAATTCACCAGCAGCTGCTCCCTTTCTTGCTGGGTCTCCCTCTCCCACACACAGATGGTCACTCTTGTGAGCCTTCCTTTCAACCATCCACACATAAGCCACGTGCCCACCGTGTGTTGTGCGCTCACATACACAAGAGCTGTCTGCAGGTGCCCTTCTGTAGTTCTCAAACTGTTAGACACCCTCTTTTCTCACTTAGCAGGCTCCCTGCCCTGCTCTGGCTAGGGGCTGTCTTTTCTAGAACTCAGTTTGTGTCCCCATGTGACCCCATAGCCTCCCTAGATGGGGGACGCCAGCTTCAACCCTCAATTACCTAGAGTCCTATTCCTTCAGCAGCCCATGGTACTTCCTTGGGTCCCTTATCTGTCTTACAGCTTGCCAGTTGGATGTGGTGGTGCATGCTTGTAATCCCAGCTTGTGGGAGGGAGGAGGATCAAGAATTCAAGGCCAACCTTAGTTAGTAATGAGTTTAAGGCTAGCTTGAGCTATGAGTGACTCCATCCCAAAAAACTAAAAAGAAAGAAAGACAGAAAGACAGAAAGAAAACCCATGCCTGCTGTCTCAGCTTTGTTCTTCCCAGCCCTGTCTCTCATCCCAGCCCCGCAAGTCCACCCCCATCAAGGGTCCCTAGGGGCATCTCCCTTTGTCTCTGTGTATTCTTTCCCTGGCTGGCTTCAGAGTGCTCACTTGTGCATTTAGTTATTTTCCAATTTTATATATATTTCTATTTTGTGTGTGTGTGTGATGAATGTGCATGTAGAAGTCAGAGGGTCAAGGTACGGTTCCTCAGGCACCATCTACCTTGTATTTTGAGACAGTCCCTTACTAACCTGGGGCTCATTGATGAGGGTGAGCTGGCTGAGCAGGGAGCCTCTGTCTCCACAGTCCTGGGATTGCAAGCACGTGCAACCACAAATAGCTTTTTTTTTTAACCTGGCTTCTAGGGATAGAATTCAGGTACTCAATCATTTTACCAATGGAGTGCTCTCTCTCGCTCTCTGTCTCCAGGAACCATCCCCTCCTTAATCACATTTTATTTAGTTTACCTTGTGCGTGTGTGTGTGTGTGTGTGTGTGTGTGTGCGTGTGCGTGTGCATGTGTGTGTGCTCATGTGCCACTGGACACAGGTGGAGGTAAAAGGACAACTTCCAGGGATCACTTATCTCCTTATACCACGTGGGTCCCCAGTATCAAATTCATGGTTTCAGCTGGTACCATTACTGGCTGAGCCACCAGATGCCAACCCCCCCCTTTATGTACTGGGCCTTGCTAAGCAGTAACCCTTGATCTGATACTTTCTATGTAGCCTAGGCTGGCCCTGAACTCAGGGCAATCCTCCTGTCTCACCCTTTCATTTATATACTTGCTACATGTCTGTTCTGCTCCTCTAAGCTTTCCCGAGCGTGAGAAAGCGTGAGAAATGGGTTTGGCTCACACGCTGCCACACAGCAGCCACAGGACAAGTGCAGTGAGCACACTAGAGTGTGCCACTTCTGACACATTTTTGAGAGAGGTGGCGACCCAGAGTTTTCTTCGCCTTCCCCTGAAGGTCCAGTCTCATGGACAACAGCTCATGCTCCACGGTTTCTTCCTGACCAGAGCCCACTTTGCTTCTGAGGCCTTAACTCCTACGTCTGCGTAGGGCCACCATGCCCAACCAGGACGAACTCTTGGATACTCATGTATTTTGTGTGTGCACACAGCTCTCTCCCTGGGCTTCAGACCCTTCTCCCACATGCTGGCACAGATGTCACTGGTTGGTCCCTTTGCAGGCCCGGTGGCTGCTGAGGTTATGTTATATCTCTTCTTGCTGCAGCTCAGAGAGCCGATGTCGGTGGGGAGGCAGCAGGCACCTCCATCAACCACTCCCAGATGCTGCTCCAGAGACTGCAGGACCTGCTGAAGCAGGGCAACGCCAGTGACGCCGTCCTGCGAGTGCAGGCTGTGGGCACCGATGAGGTCCGAGCCTTCTACACCCACCGCTTGTTGCTGGGGATGCACAGTGAGCTTTTCCGAGAGCTGCTGAGTAACCAGAGCGAGGTGCTGCTGCAGGAACCCCGGGACTGCGCTGCTGTCTTTGACAAGTTCATCAGGTATGCAGGGGAAGGACACCGTGCTGCACTCTGTCCACAGCCCCCCAACTTCTCCACCTCCAGGGTCACAGAAGTCTGGCCTTAGAGGTTATTATATCTACTTTCAAAAGTCATAGCATGACACACAACACTCAGCTCCTTTGTCCCTGCTTCCACTGCCTTCCCTGTTGTGAACCTTTGTACCACTTCCTGCCCTTGGGAGTCCCTTCTGAGCTACTTACAAACCAGGCCAAGAGAGTTTATGACAGATCGTTGGATGGTCTCTTTCAAGTCTTAGGGTTGAGATCAGTCATTTCTTTTCTTTTCTTTTTTTAAGATTTATTTATTCATTTATTTATTTATTATGTACACAGTGTTCAGCCTCCATGTATGCCTGCAGGCCAGAAGAGGGCACCAGATCTCATTACAGATGGTTGTGAGCCACCATGTGGTTGCTTGGAACTGAACTCAGGACCTCTGGAAGGTCAGTGCTCTTAACCTCTGAGCCACCTTTCCAGCCAGAGATCAGCCATTTCTTAGCCCTGCACATGGCTTTGGAACCACAGGGCTATGGAGCAAAAAAGTTAGCTAGGTCTGTGTTGCCTCTCAGCTTCCTGCACAGGGAAAGACTTGTAAAATAGTCTAAGGAGGTAAAACCCTACTTTGATGGCTTAGACAAGGTGGCTGCAGATTCCAGACATCACTTCCAAGTTCCAAGCATCAGGAAGAGGGATAAAAAGAGAAGGGTTTTCCATAGGGCCTAGTGGGGTGCTGTGTGCCAGTGGGCCTGCCAGGAAGAATAAGGGGGGGGGGGGAAGTACTGTAAGAGAGCCAGAGACAGTAAAACAGCGAACAAGGAAAGGGAAACTGGACAGTAAGAAAGACCCAGTTGCAAAGAGGAGGGGATCCGGGCATAGGAAGTAGCCTGGGTTGGCTGTATACTCTGTAGCACGATTTTTCATGGCCTCTCTCTGTGACAATATTCCAGAGGGGGGTTCTTCCCCTTTCCTAGGTAAGTTTAAGATTTACCTAAGTTAAAGGACTTGCCTTGTCTAGCGGCAAGGAGGAGGTCAGATGGGCACCTAAATCCAGACTGTGGACTCCGAGGTTATCAGTGGCTTGTTTTCATTTTAGCTTATAGTTAGACATCAAGGAGACGCTCGTTAAATACATGTGATTTCCACAACACCAGAAGCTAGAAGTTGTTTGAATAAGCTGGGAGGGAACTTAAGAGGGAAAGACAGGAGGCCTCAGGACCCATTCATCCTGTTAGCGCCTGATTACAAGAGAGGCTGTGTTTTGGGAAAACCAGCTAGGGATGGAGCAGGTGGCCTTGTCCAGATCCAGCACTGTTGATCTTTCTATTTTGATGATGGTGATGATGATGATAATGTTTTTTTGAGACAGGGTTTCTCTGTGTAGTCCTGATTGCCCTGAAACTCACGCTATAGATCAGGCTGGTCTCGAACTCAGAGAGCTGCCTGGCTCTCCTTCCAGAGTGTTGGGATTAAAGGCGTGCAGCACCATTGCCTTGCCCCTATTTTTATTTTTATATCTTATTATTAGTTTCTCTACCCATCCCCCACCGGCAATGTGAAAATGGGTGCCCTCTTCCAGTCGGAAGAGGGCCGGAGTTACAGATGGTTTCGAGGCACCCAATGCTGGGGACCCAATTCTGGTCCCCTGGGCAAGTGCTGTTAACTGCTGAGCCATCTCAAAGGGCCCATTCTTCAACTCCCTTGCAGGTACTTGTACTGCGGTGAGCTGACCATCTTGCTGGCCCAGGCTATCCCGCTGCACAGACTGGCCACCAAGTACCGTGTGGCATCCCTGCAGCGAGGTGTAGCTGACTACATGCGTGCGCATCTGGCTGGAGGCGCGGGCCCAGCTGTGGGCTGGTACCACTATGCAGTGAGCACCGGGGATGAAACTCTGCGTGAGAGCTGCCTGCAGTTCCTGGCTTGGAACCTTTCGGCGGTGGCGGGGAGCGCCGAGTGGGGCGCCGTGAGCCCCGAGTTGCTGGCGCAGCTCCTGCAGCGCTCGGACCTGGTGCTGCAGGATGAGCTGGAGCTGTTCCACGCGTTGGAGGCGTGGCTGGGTCGCGCGCGGCCGCCCCCCACAGTGGCCGAGCGAGCGCTGCGAGCCATCCGCTACCCTATGATCCCGCCCGCACAGCTGTTCCAGCTGCAGGCGCGCTCGGCCGCGCTGGCGCGCCATGGCCCAGCAGTGGCAGACCTCCTGCTGCAAGCTTACCAATTCCACGCCGCCTCGCCGCTGCACTACGCCAAGTTCTTCCACGTGAACGGCAGCGCCTTCCTGCCGCGCAACTACCTCGCGCCTGCCTGGGGCGCCCCGTGGGTCATCAACAACCCGGCTCGCGACGATCGCAGCACCAGCTTCCAGACGCAACTGGGTCCGAGCGGCCATGACGCGGGTCGCCGCATCACCTGGAACGTGCTCTTCTCCCCGCGTTGGCTGCCCGTCAGCCTGCGGCCCGTCTACGCGGACGCAGCGGGCACTGCGCTGCCCGCTGCACGCCCCGAGGACGGAAGACCACGGCTGGTGGTCACGCCTGCCAGCAGCAGTGGAGACGCGGCAGGCGTGAGCTTCCAGAAGACCGTGCTGGTGGGTGCGCGCCATCAGGGCCGCCTCCTGGTCCGCCACGCCTACAGCTTCCACCAGAGCAGCGAGGAGGCTGGCGACTTCCTGGTCCACGCAGACCTGCAGAGGCGCAACTCGGAGTACTTGGTGGAGAATGCACTGCATCTCCATCTCATTATCAAGCCCGTTTACCACACCCTCATCAGGACTCCCAGTTAGCCTGTGTTTTAGAAATAAAGGTCTGGCCTGAATGGTGCTCCAGGGTCTGGGGAGGGGTAGGCAAACATGGAAGCAACTGCCAGCCTGAGCCTTGGGTGACCAGGTCCGGCTGGTTGGGGCCGGGGATGGAAAGCAGGCGAATGTGGTAGACAAGATGGCTGTGGTTTCAGGAATGTCTTTCCCAGTTGATTGGAAGGCAGCTTTCTTGCTCCATAATAAAACCATGCTCAGAAAGGCCAGGGCCTGAAGCGACTCGGCGGGTGGTCTCAAAAGTCTGGGGTTCACATGCCCTCCCCTGAGTTTTTCCCTGAGGATTCCCACCCAGACATGGATTAGGGCAGGGAAGATGAACTAATAAAATGTTCAGTGATTAACAGTCAGTGACTGACAGCTCAGGGATTGACAGCCAACGTGAGCAATCACATCTGGAGGTGAAAGTGTTCTCTGAGCTGCCACCTCCAATGGGCAACGGTCCCTTTAGCTTGAGAGACTTTCTGTCACCGCCTACATCAAGTGGCTCTTGGGGAGGGGTTCAGGTCAGTGGAAAGGCCCTTGAGAGACTGCCACAAATGAGACCTTGCTCTAGCCCCATCCTTCTGGGGAGGGACAGTCTTGTCATCTTGAGGAAAACATGCATTCCGCAGATGTTTGGTAGGTTTGTGCCAAGGAAGGTGGGGTGCTGGGAGTGAACGGGCCAGGAACTGTAGGAATCCTAGAACCAGGCACGGCCACGGCACATACTGAAAACTCATAAGAAACCATCAAAACCCCCGTAGGACTTTATTTAAAGGAATGTCAGGGGGGAAAAAAAGCAACAGAGAAGTTATAAAACTAGAGTCCCTCCCCACCCCTCCCCACCATGTGTGAAGTCCCGTGACTCCTTCCCCATCCCCAAGCCCCACCCTTGCCCACGGTGGGCCTTGGAACCCCATTTCACTGACAGCTCCTCTTCCCCCACTGCTGAAGCCAAGATTGGCCTCAGGTCTGTGCAAGGATTTGGCAACAGTGTTCTGTCCGGGGCTGGGAGGCCAAGCTGGTGGGGCTCAGTCTCTCTTTCTAGTGGCATTGAGCATGAACCGATTCCGGGTCATGGGAGCCCATTCCCCTACGCCCTTGCTTCATGGGATCCCCATTTGTCCAGCTCCCACCTCCCAGTCAGTCCTGCAGGCCAAAGAGTAGGCGCCAGGGCCACTCAATTATGCCGGAGGCGGCCATCTTTGCCAAGGGTGCTTGAACCGTGGGGCAGGCTGGGCCCACGTGTGGCTCTGCGGGAAACAGCAGCTGGGTTGGGGGGAACAGGAAGGGGTGAGGGGTTTCCAGAGCCTATGAGAGAGGAAAAGCCAGCATCAGTTGCTGAGGAGTGCTTTCCCTCCCCCACAACATCCAGTTGGTCTTGAACTTCTTAGGGGATCAATCCCAGTTTGTTAACCCTGCCCATATCGCTCCGGAGACCATAGTTCCAGCTAGTGGCAAGCACCCTGCAGGTTTCCCCTTTGAGCTGGTCAAGGCCTCTCCCACCTCAATTCCTCCTTTGTTGGTACTGACCTGTATTCTGGCTTGGAGGAAATCTGACCTTGGCCAGAGGAAGTGTGACCTTTCCCAGATGTCTGACACCAGGGGATGGCCGCCCACACACTGGCATCCTCCGGTCTGAAACGCCCTCTGAGGGGTGAGGCCCCAGCAGGTGTGTCTTGGGACGAGACAGCTGTACAGTTGGGAAACCGTGAAAATAGATGGAGAGACGCCTAGCGCTCAGCTACAGAACCCGGTCCTAGCTGCTTTATCAGGCTGGGGATTGTGTTTTAGGTCAGGGCCTCTGGGTGTAGTGTCCTGTAGGTTCTGGAGGGAGCTAGTCCTTAGACCCTCACCCATTAGGAGTGGGCGCAGGCATCTCCCCCCTGAGTCTGGCCTCACCCCTTGTCCTGTGACCTCGAAGGACCGAGACCTCCGCTTCCTCTTCTTCGCCTCCAGTGACTCCTCCCTTTTCTTGCTGAGGCTTTTCTTCTGACCACGCACCCAGGGTCCAGTGCCATCACCTCGAGGTCCTACTGCCCCAGAGGGGCCCTCGCCGGTGCTGCTGGATAGATTGTCCTCGCTGATAGCATGCTGCAGTGTGGGGCTGGGCGGCCGCTTGCAGGCCAGCGGACCCGAGGGGCGAACATCGTCAGCGTCGCTCAACGAGTTCAGGGACTGGCTGCTGCGCTCTGTGGCAGGTGCCAGCAGGTGGCGCCCCTCCGATCCCAGGGCCCGGGAGCGCCGCTGGGCGGCCTTCACCGAGATACACTTAGTCCGGGTCAGGATCTCTTTTTTCTCTACAACAGACATCCAACTTAAGGTCAAGGCCACTTCCCACACCCCTTCTTCAGAGGTCAAAAGTGAGCAAGAGCCAGGACTCACAGGTTTCACCCCCAGAACCCTAACTCGCTAGCTCTTCGAGAAACTTGGGTTGTCCCCTCAGAACCTCAATTTCATTTGTAAATGGGCAAAAATTAACTGAGACACTGGGATTCTAGACTAATGTCATAGGACTGTGATCTTAGCTCCTCAGGAGGCTGAGGTGGAAAGATCAAAAGTTCAAGACTGACTGGACATGGTGCCACACACCTTTAATCCCAGCACTTGGAAGAGAAGAAGCAGGCAGATCTCTGTGAGTTTGAGGCCAGCCTGGTCTATGTAGTGAGTTCCAGGATAGCCTGGGCTACATAGTGAGACCCTATTCTTAAGAACAAAACAAAACAAAACAAAAAGCAAAGGCTGGCCAACTCGGCAACTTAGACCTGATCCCAAAATAAAAAAATGAAACCTCCACATGGTCTAGACAACGGTTTTTATGGTTTTAGTTTAATTGTCTAGGGAGCAGAGATTCTAAAAGAATTTGCTAGAATCCAGTAGGAAAGGGGTGAAAAAGGGTCCTTAATTTTTTTCTTTTTTGGTTTTTCAAGACAGGGTTTCTCTGTGTAGCTTTGATGCCTATCCTGGAACTCACCAGGCTGGCCTTGAACTCACAAAGATCTGCCTGCCTCTGACTCCCTAGTGCTAGGATTAAAGGCATGCGCCACCATGCCTGGCCAAGTGTCCCTATTTTAATTTCTGATTGTTTCCCATCTTCTGTGTGTCCTTAGCAGGTGGCTAGTCCTTCTGGTACAGCCAATAAATGGGTACCTTCAGCAGGGGCAGAGAGAAGCAAGGAGCTTCGGGCTTGGTCATCTGAGCAGTTTAGGCAATGTCAAGCAATGGTGGCCAGGGCATGTGAAGTGTAGGGCACACCCACCTTTATGGGACAGAGGGATCTCTGACAGATTCTCACTGCTGTCCGGGGAAGAGTTGATCTGGCTGCCCAGGCTGTCCTGTGGTGGGGCCTAGGGGGTGAACCGTTTGGAAAGGGGAAGGCCTTGAAGACAGCAGGGACCCCACACCGCACTCTACAGAGGGCTGTGTGGTCTTGGAGGTGCTAGCCTTTTTGGAAAGAAATCCACCCATCGTTTGGGGCACCCAGAACTCACCTGCTGGGTCACCAGGGTGCCCACCTGGATGGGAGGTGGAGTGGGCATGGAGGAATGCTTCGCCTGCCAGGCCCTGGGACTGGCCTTGAACACGAGGTAGGACTCACTGCGGTTGGCAGAGGAACAGGAGGAGGCAAGACTGACCAGGCAAGTCACACCAAAGTCCACCCCCCCCCCCCCCACAGAGAAGCTGTTGGTGCCAAGGGAGAGAGAACCTACAGATCCCGGCTGCAGACCCCTGCACCGCCTCACTGTTTCTGACACCGTCTTCCCTATTGAGCCCTTTCCGGGGCTGACACTGTGCACACAGGTTAGGTAGCTATCAGGAAACCTCACCTCTCTGTGCCAAGCGGGGGTAGGGTGTTGTTTTGGGGGCGCTGGGTCTCAGAGCTCAGTGTCTTCACACTCTCCAGGTCAGAGTCCGGGGTCAGTGTGGTCCCAGGCCGAGTGATTCTGGGCAAGGAGCTGTCCTGTGGGGTGGAGGGTGGGGAAGGACAATGATAAAAGTGAGCAGAAAGAAGACTTGGCCCCAGTAGCAACAGGGTGACAAGCTCTGGAGGGCCCCGGGCCTGTCCTCTGGGTCCTCAGACCTTCTGAGCGTCTACTAGGGGTTTACTAGGCATTGTTTGTGAGTGGCACAGCTCAATGGCCTGAACCCATTAGAGCATTGGGTCCATTTCTCCTTGATTTTTAGAAATCAATTAATTAATTAATTAATCCATCTATCTGTTCTGTGATACAGAATCTTGCCGTACAGACTGGGCCAATCTTTCAATCCTCCTGCCTCATCCTCCCAAGTGTTGGGATTAAAAACTATCCTATTGGACTAGTGGTCACTTGTGATATCTCAGATGGTCAGTCCTGACCTTGTGACCCTAGGTGGGAACAAGTTTCAGGCCAGGCAGTAATGCCCAGGAATGGGGAACCTCATTTAGGCTGGTCCAAGCGCCCACCTGCAGAGCCCTGGAGGCCACGCGGTCCATGATCGTGGCCCTCTCTAGGCTGCCCTCCTCCAGTT